GACAGTCGACAAGTGACATATAATAGATGACAAGTGACAGGTGGCAGGCAGATCAAAACAATACTACCTCGAAGGGCCCCTATCACCAGTGTACCGGTATTAGGCAGCTGTAGGTAATAGTCCTCAAATTACGTTATAAAAGTAAGTTTATCCATCACATATGAGATATTGTGGTATTTTCTGCGCTATGTTAATATGTATAAATACTTATTGCCATTAAACTAAAAGTGTATTCAGTAGTTTTTTAGAAGTAATCAGAATTGTAGTTGATTATATAATATTTCATCGTAATCCAAGTCGTATTCAATTAAAATCCTCATGTAATCGCCCTGTGTCAAGACTCCTTAGCCTCCTAACCTCTCAGTGCAGCGAATAACACCTTTTTATGTGTTAATGTCATAATTATTTTATATCTTTTAAACATAATGATTAAGAGCTTCTTAGTACTGTAAACATGTGGGTTAGGTGTGTGGTCCACCCTTAGTATGGGTTAGGTGTGTGGTCCACCCTTAGTATGGGTTAGGTGTGTGGTCCACCCTTAGTATGGGTTAGGTGTGTGGTCCACCCTTAGTGTGGGTTAGGTGTGTGGTCCACCCTTAGTATGGGTTAGGTGTGTGGTCCACCTTGTGTGGTTAGGTGTGTGGTCTACCCTTAGTGGGTTAGGGTGTGTGGTCCACCCTTAGTGTGGGTTAGGTGTGATCCACCCTTAGTATGGGTTAGGTGTGTGGTCCACCCTTAGTGTGGGTTATTGTGTGGTCCACCCTTAGTGTGGGTTGGTGTGTGGTCCCCTTAGTATGGGTTAGGTGTGTGGTCTACCCTTAGTGTGGGTTAGGTGTGTCCACCCTTAGTGTGGGTTATGTGTGTGATCCACCCCATGTAGGGTTAGGTGTGTGGTCCATCCTAGTGTGGGTTATGTGTGTGATCCACCCTAGTATGGGTTAGGTGTGGTCCACCCTTAGTGGGCTAGGTGGTGGTCCACCCTTATGTGGTTATTGTGTGATCCACCCTAGTATGGGTTAGGTGTGTGGTCACCCTGTGTGGGCTAGGTGTGGTCCACCCCTCAGTGTGTGGGTTAGTGTGGGTCCACCCTTGGTGTGGGGTTAGGTGTGTGGTCCACCTTAGTGTGGTTGGGTGTGTGGTCCACCCTAGTATGGGTTAGGTGTGTGGTCCACCCTTAGTGTGGGTTAGGTGTGTGGTCCACCCCTCAGTGTGGGTTGGTGTGTGGTCCACCCTTGGTGTGGGTTAGGTGGTCCACCCTAGTGTGGGTAGGTGTGTGATCCACCCTTGTATGGGTTAGGTGTGGTCCCACCTTAGTGTGGGCTAGGTGTGGTCCACCCTTAGTGTAGGTTATGTGTGATCCACCCTTTATGGGTTAGGTGGGCCCACCCCTGTGTGTGGGCTGGTGTGTGGTCCACCCTTAGTGTGAGTATGTGTGGTCCACCCTAGGTGTGGGTAAGGTGTGTGGTCCACCCTTGTGTGGGTTAGGTGTGGTCCAACCCTTAGTGTGGTTAGGTGTGTGGTCCACCCTTGTGTGGAGTTAGGTGTGTGGTCCACCCTTAGTGTGGGTTAGGTGTGTGGTCCACCCTTAGTGTGGGTTAGGTGTGTGTCCACCTTAGTGTGGGTTAGTGTGGTCCACCTTGAGTGGGTTAGTGTGGTCCACCTTTAGTGTGGTTAGGTGTGTGGTCCACCCTTAGTGTGTTGGGGTGGTCCACCCTAGTATGGGTTGGGTGTGTGGTCCACCCTTAGTGTGGGCTGGGTGTGGTCCACTTAGTGTGGTTAGGTGTGGTCCACCCTTAGTATGGGTTGGGTGTGTGGTCCACCCTTAGTATGGGTTGGGTGTGGTCCACCCTTGTGTGGGCTAGGTGTGTGGGCCACCCTTTTGTGGGTTAGGTGTGTGGTCCACCTTAGTGTGGGCTAGGTGTGTGGTCCACCCTTAGTGTGGGTTAGGTGTGTGGTCCACCCTTGTGTGGGCTAGGTGTGGTCCACCCTTAGTGTGGGTTAGGTGTGTGGTCCACCCTAGTGTGGGCTGGGTGTGTGGTCCACCTTAGTGTGGGGTTAGGTGTGTGGTCCACCCTAATGTGGGTTAGGTGTGTGGTCCACCCTTGGTGTGGGTTAGGTGTGTGGCCCACCCTTAGTGTGGGCTAGGTGTGTGGTCACATGATGTGTGGGCTAGGTGTGTGGCCACCCTTGAGTGTGGAGCTAGGTGTGTGCTCCACCCTTAGTGTGGGCTGAGTGTGTGCTCCACCCTTAGTATGGGCTAGGTGTGTGTGTGTGTAACAGCACCTTTGCTTTATATAAATATTCACCCAAATGAATAACACCATCTTATTCACCGAGTTATTCAACAATGACTCAGTTGTTGACGATTATTCATGGCTGAGCTTGTAACTATCACAGAGGTCGGGTGTAGGTCAGCTGCTGAATCAAAACAGCCAGCTCATTCCCACACTTCGCTCTCTCCTCTCTCACGCTCAGAGGAGGGAACAGATCCTTACCACTTGATCAGGGAAGAGGATGTAACTCGAGTGTTCTCTCAAAGTTGATCCACCCTACAGTAACCAATGAGTTTAAGATCTGACCCAACCAGAGGTCACAATCACAAGGAAACAGTTCTCAGTGCTGCGTGATTAGTCAAACCGGCGTCATGACTGTGTTAACTCAAGAAACTACCCTCCAGCCCGCACTATGCACCTGATCAAACACAGCTGTCTCTCACCCAGATTAGTGTTAATTAGTGACGACATCTGCCGGCCTGACACCGCCAATATAAGGGCCGACAGCTCCTTCCCAGGGACAGACAGGGAGAGACAGAACTAAAAGGTCGGGAGGGGACTTCCCTCCCCACGTCGAGTCCCCAGTTAGCACAGTCTCCCACAGGAGACTGTCCAGCACCCTCCTTGATCACTCTCTTCAGCAGTACTTGCAGACAGATTCCCTAACCGCTGGGCCTCCCTCAGGTCACACATGAGTCATTGTCAGAGCGATCCACAGAGTGAGTTTCTTATGGTGGGAAGTGTATCCATTTCATGTTTGTGTCCGGGAGTCACGTCTAGTAACTTCGATATAATGATGATTTACTTATGAGTTCATGCCATTCAGTTACTAATAAATAGCTGTACTTAGAAGTAGTGTTTAGAAAATTTCCCTTAACAGCATAGTAACAGTTAAACACCTAACGGCCACGCTACCAAACTTTCCTCACTTTACAATTCTATTACTATAAATTCTTACTATATTTCTACTTATGATTACCCTCATTACACTGATCAGTATTAGATCAACACACAAGTACTGTATGATCAGTATTAGATCAACACACAAGTACTGTATGATCAGTATTAGATCAACACACAAGTACTGTATGATCAGTATTAGATCAACACACAAGTAGGTTTGATCAGTATTAGTTCGATAAGGTAGGTAGTAGGCAGCTACCAAACAGGGAGGTACTACCGCCTGGGAAGATATTGGAAGCATAATGTATTGTCTAATGGTAGACCCTGCTGCCATATGGCATCACGAAAATTGTGACCAAGTCCCAGGTTGTTGATCTGACTTTCTGCCTCATTTTCACACAATTCCAGGGTCTCAATTGTTTCTCTTACTCTGACAACACAACATACATATATTGTTTCTCACTCTTGATCTTTTTTTCCTTTTTATATTTATTTATGTATTTTTATTATTATTATTTTTATTGTTATTATTATTATTATTATTATTATTATTATTATTATTATTATTATTATTATTATTATTATTATTATTATTATTATTATTATTATTATTATCATTCAGTGTTGTTATTAGAACTATTGATTTTATTTTATTTCTAATTTTGTTTGTTTTATTAAAAATTTTATTTACTTGGATTTATTATTATTATCGTTATTTTACCATTTTCGCCCTCCAGGCCCCGATGTGGTTCAGTGACCTGTGCCCGGGTGGGCTAATCCCGTTAAAAATAAATAAATAAATAAAAAAATAAAATCTCTCTCCACCTCCTGGACACTTATGAAGGTGATTTACTGAACACTGTATTATGCCTCACCCCGAACAGAAGGACGAGGGTACTTACCTGGGAACGATGCAGAGAGAGTTGTATGGTCCTTTTGCCAATATGATACGAAAATAATAGATCCATAAATCTTTAAAGAAACTGTCGAATAATCCTCTTTCAGAGATGAAGAGGTGGGGGGTGGGGAATTAACGCTTAACGTTTCGTGGAACCTTTTAAGTTGAAGCCGCTTATTGAGGATATAAGTGGGGAAGTATTCCTGGGCGGCCAAGGTGGTTGATAATGTTTTTGTTGTGGAGTTAATGAGTTAATGTTTAAGAAGAAGACATCTTATCCAAAATGTTTAAATATGTTTTTTGGGTGAATGAACTAGAGGTTTTTTGCTTAGGTGTTGAAGCACAGTTGAACATCATAAGAACAACAACAGTCAAAGGTAAATTAGAACTTTGAACATATTTCTTTCACTTCGTATTTTCATAAGGCATAGAAACGTTATCGTCCTGGCAGGGAACAGGAGTATAGGAAGTATAGATCTCCGTGAGTCACATATGAGTTTTAGTCTGTTCACTCGTTGGTTACAACTGAGGCCTAGGGTCGGTTTGTAGCAAGACAACTGGCTTATCGGTTCGCGGACCTGACACCTAGAAGTCACTACAGATCTTCATTATTTAATTAATCGTATTTATACTCCGATATTTTAAGGGATATTAACTGTTCTGTGTTAATCCCTGAGAATTTCCTTACTTGATGAAGCAAAAATTAGCTTGTGAAATGCACTGATGAAATAAATATCTTAATGAAAACACGAACACAAAAAAACACATCAACAACATCCTCCACTTTTTATATCTGGTAATGATTAGCTTCTAATGGCTGAATGGTAAAGCGCTCGCCTCCTGTCCTAATAGTCAGGGGTTCATGAATGAGACATACCCAGGCAACTTAGCAGTATTCAGTATGGGTATCAGGTTTTAATGTTCAGGCTGCCCATACTGGAAGCTCGGATCTACGGCTCCCAGTAACGATTGCGATAATTCAGTTAACCTGTATTATCTTTGTCTTAAGTTTTCTATCAATGTCTTAAATTGCTTTGCTCGACTTACATTATTATGAATAAACCCCCATTAAAGAACTTAACCCATTGCTTCATATGAATACTCGACACATTTATAGTGATAAATCTAAAAAAAATGGGTTAGGTCTTAGTACATTTTTTTTTACTGTTACCCAATAGAAGATTCTAACGTAAGATTTTTGGCTTATGACACATGAGGTTCATTAGCCGCTGATTGTTACCTGATGCGAGTTTGATCAATGTTGTTATGTGTTGCCTCCATGTGCCTCTACAGACACTGAATCACTGAGGAAACAGACAAATTGGGAGTATAAACCGAGAATTTTTCTTGGAGTAAACAACCTAGGTAAACAACTAAGGTAAACAACCCAAGTAGACAAACTAAACAACCAAAGTAAATAACTATGGCAAACAACCTAGGTAGAGAAGAAAGGTAAAAATAAAATACAAAAGATAGATAAACAACTTAAGAAACAACTAAAGTGAACAACTAAGCTTAATAACTAAAGTAAAAAAAATAAACAAAATAACCACGGTAAACAACCAAGCTAAACAAACTAAACAACTGAAGTAAACAATTAAGGTAAACAAAATAAACAACCAATGTAAGCACTCTGAAGGGGAGGACATTGAACATTCCAAGTTTTCCCTATATACTAAAGGTTAATGTGTTCAATTTAAGCAAAAGAATACTTTTATGTCGCACCTGAGGTAGAGTCCGAAGTGTCTTCCTGTTCATCCTAGCAGTTTTCTCGCAACTCTTCTTAGTTTCAATTCCATAAACATTAATTATGAAGATGGTCAGTAGTTTAGTGGGTCTTGGGTGTGGTGATGGTGCAATTAAATTTGAAGGTGATGAGGAAAAGACGGGGCTTTTTTTAGCTGTTCGTTATGGTGTCTTACCCGACCACAAGGCGTGTTGATGAACAGTCCACAAGGTGTGTTGATGATCAGTTTGCAAGGTGTGTTGATGACCAGATCACAAGGTGTGTTGATGACCAGTCCACAAGGTGTGTTGATGACCAGTTCATAAGGTGTGTTGATGACCAGTCAACAGGTGTGTTGATGACCAGTTCACAAGGTGTGTTGATGACCAGTCCACAAGGTGTGTTGATGACCAGTTCATAAGGTGTGTTGATGACCAGTTCACAAGGTGTGTTGATGACCAGTTCACAAGGTGTGTTGATGACCAGTCCACAAGGTGTGTTGATGTGCCCATGGTGTGTTGATAAGTGTCACAAGGTGTGTTGACGACCAGTCACAAGGTGTGTTGACGACCAGTCCATCAGGTGTGTTGATGACCAGTTCACAAGGTGTGTTGACGACCAGTCCATAAGGTGTGTTGACGACCAGTCCACAAGGTGTGTTGATGACCAGTCCACAAGATGTGTCGATGACCAGTTCACAAGGCTGAGTAACTTGACGGTAAAGGAAAGTTGAGGAGAACATTTATACAATCATGACTGTAGTAGTTAGGAAGTGAGAGAAAATTTTAACTCTACTGAGGAGTTTGTCTCACTGTTCCGCCTTTAAGTTTTGAGGAGTTACCTGGTGGAGAGCTGTGCCGCCTCTATCTCCTCCTCCTCCCTGGGATTAGTGGCTCAGTTTGCTGGGAGCTGAATCATAGATGGCCGAGTCAATGTCATGTCGATAACTGTGCCGATTGGTCAGACACGGCCTCTACCTAGCCAATAGGAGTGATGGGGATGTTTGTTGTATCCTTTGGGTTAATGATCCTTCTCGTTGTATGTTACCCGGCATGACTAGACCAGAAATATGGCCTTTTAGGTCAGTTCTTTATTTCTGTATGACATATATTTACGCCATAAAAGCTCAAGGCTTTCAGTTTTCCTCCTCCAACACAACACCCTCAGTTTGCTTCCTCCAGCACAACGCCCCCAGTCTCTCCCCCAACAGAACACCCTCACTTTCCTTCCTCCAACACAATGCTTCCAGTTCCTCCTCCAACACAACACCCTCAGTTTCCTTCCTCCAACAGATCATCATCAGTTTCTTTTCAACACAACGCCCCCCAAAGTCCCTCCTGTGCCTTACACCAACAGAGACATAACTTACAACTGGCTCTTGTCTGCCTCATATACTCGGTCGAGGACCCAGCCATCCCTGGTGAGTCATGGGAGTCCTTAACAAAATCATACCAACTAGGAACTCAGTGCTGTCTATTGTACACCTTATCAAACACTTCCCTGCCGCACCAAACATGTAGCTGACTGTACAAGTGATAGTCATGATGCTAGTGATTGTCACAACCATATTTGGCTCTGTAATGTACAACAGAGTCAATAGATAAAGGCTCTACTTCATGTCTGTCTTTCCTCGGTACTGTAAGAACTCCCATTTTCGTCTGATTTATTTTCGTCGTTGCTCCTCCAGTTTGATGGTTATGGGATAGTAGATAGAGGAACACTGGTAGTGGCAAGTCCCTCATGACAACCAACTAATGAGAGAGAGATGACAAAGTCCTATCTTTACACAAATCATTACTCTCCTGATAATATCACTGAGTCAGGTGGACCAGGAAATTTACCTATAATACAGATGTTGGCTTTATAGACATCGTCATGATGGAAAAGAGTGTTAGACATTACATTCGCTCTTCCTCATTCTCTGTCTTGTGTGGGACAGTAAACATCAACAGAGATAACTGACGTGGTACTGCTCATGATGAGTTAACTGCAGTCACAATATTAATAAATTACTTCGTGATCTTGTGCCACACCAAGGGAAGACCACCCTAAGATCTGACGTTGTTAACTTCCCGAGTCACATCTACAGTAGATGTAGAAAAGGAGGATATATGAGTGTAGGGTGTAGACCATTCCGCAACCATGTTCCCCGCCGTAATAAGTCATGACTCTTACTTGATTTTAGGCACTGAAAGTATTATAACGTCACATTAAAACAGCTGATCAAACATAAGTTATTAACTGTCGTGAGGAGTTGAGTCCTTGTTAGCAGCAGCCACAGGAACCACCATGCTGTTGCAGGTGACGTTAAGAGTAGTGACAGACGTGGCTAGAGGAGCTGAAACCTGCAGCACCAGTGACCGTAAAGGAAGACAACCTTCAGTCTCTCCACCTTGATCAACTCAGCTATAATAGTCCAGTTCCTCAGAAGGTAAGTTACTTTCAGTTGGTCACAACCACCTGGTACCAGGATCGAGGTGGCTGCTCTCACGCCTACGACTCGCTACAGTTTTCCTTACTGGCAACTGACTTGTTAGTTTATTGGAATAGAATCGTCCTCGGTAAGATTATCTGTGTTGGCAGCAAGTCTATCTTCGTCATGTAATGTCCCTGCCCACCACTACACCGGTGGTCACGTTACTGGGTGTCAGGTCCATATATAAGAACATAAGAACATAAGAATGGAGGAAACTGCAGCGGGCCTATTGACCCATACTGGGCAGTCCCGTTTCTACCCAACCCCTATTGCTCATATAAGCATCCAGCCTATGTTTGAAGCTATCCAGCGTATTCGAGTTAATGATGATATTTGGTAACTTGTTCCATTCATCCACTACTCTGTTTCCAAACGAGTGTTTACCTATTTCACGCCGAAATCAAAATTTGTCTAATTTTAAACCATTGTTACGAGTTCGCTCGTAGGATGGTTTGATATTTGTAATGTTCCTTGTTTAACCCTTGATCCATTTATACACCTTATCATGTCGCCTCACTTCGTCTCTCGAGGAGTGCAAATTAAGATGTTTAACCTGTTTCTGTTTTCAAGGTCCTAATGCCCAGGATTAGTCTTGTCATTCTCTCTGGATTCTTTCCACGATTCTATCCATTCTGTAATTCTGGTGACCAGAACTGAGTTGTAATCCAGGTGAGGTCTCAAGCTAGATATAATTTTAAGATGACCTCGCTAGGCTTGTAACTAACACCTTTGTATGAACCAAGTACTTTATTAGCCTTTATATAAAAACACATTGTTTACTTGGCTTAAGATTCTACTTATCATTACCCTAAATCTCTCTCACAGTCGATTCCACAATGGCATCGTTATTCATCTGGTAACTTTACATTTGTCCACATTGAATTTCATCTCATTTTTTCCGACTATTCGAAAAAATTTGTTTAGATCTTCCTGTAGTTTTGCAGAGTCCTTGTCAGATTTAATTACACGCCTATTTTAGTGTCATCAGTAATTACTTATGTTGCTGTCTATGCCGATATCTATGTCGTTTATGTATATAACAAATAATAATGGTCCATACTGAGCCGGGAACCCACTAGTGACGTTGCTCCAATGCGATTTAGTTATTATGCTCATCGCTGTTTGATGTCCCGTAACCATGCCCTAATCTATTTGGATATTATCTTTGATGCCATGCGCCTTACCTTCTAATTAGTCTTTCGGGACTCGTCGAAGGCTTTGCTAAAGTCGAGATATACCACATCATAATTGTGCCCCTTGTCCACCGATTCGAAAACTTATGAAAAGAATGTTAATAGATTAGTTAGACATGAACGCCCGCTTGTGAAGCCATGTTGGGAATCATTGATCAACTTGTGCTTCTCCAGGTGGTTTCGAATAGAGTTTGAAAAAATTGATTCTAGTAATTTACCTACGAGTTGGTACACTTAGCTGTTGTTGTCGTATCCTTGGTGTGTTTCTTTACCACCAGTTTGGTCGTCCCGCCTCAAACCTTCCATTCCTCAGAGTTATCGTCATTCACCGGCTTTCCTTGTCCAGTTTCTTCCTTCATTCTTAGCATCTGTTCCTTTAATTTCAAGTTTTCTAACTCTGATTTCAGGTTTTTTCCTTGGTATTCTGCAACTCGGCCCTCAGAAGGGCGTAACCCCGTTCACCAGTAGCACTAGCCATATCTGATAATTGTCCCCGGGAGCAGAGCTACGCAGCCGTGACCTTTCCTCTAGTGAGGTCAGAATGTACACACTGCCTGGGAATGTCCATTCG